TTGAGTTTGCAAATGGAATGGATTATGAGGCACTGGAATGCACCTGTACTGATGCTAAGAGCTGCAGCTAAGAGCATGTATGAGAATGGGTTGTCGGGTTATCATTCAGGCCTGAATGATATCAAAGAGCTTCACCAGGGTCTTTATTTATCAGCTTTCCTACAATGCCCATCATGATATGATCTGAGCAGCCAATATCATAGTTAGCTCCTTTCCTTCTGTTCCTTGACATGACTGTCTTGGAATCTCTTTCATTGATAATGGCCAATTCAGACAAACATTAACCCAGACCCTGTAATAAGGAGATTGCTCAAGTCTCTGTTATGGAGGGACGAGAAGAGAAATATACCTGCATGAGTGATGCTGATCCCCTACCCATTATATTAAAATTACAATTTCCATCAGGTCCTCCTGACTCAGAAGCTCATTGCAAACTGCAGCTTACTGCCAGATCCCCATTCATCAGCACTTCAGTTAGTGGCTTTTTGTTTAATTAGAAAACACAGTGTAATGTGTCAAATTCCCCCAAAATCTGGGGAGCCGGATGTTTGGGAGGGTGAATTCAACCCACACATCTGGGTGCTGGGGGGAGGGAACCATGCACGTTCCACATGAGGGCAGTGGAAGGGCAGTGAACAATGGGTCCTGAGTACATGGCTGGTTTGCATCATTGTGAGTGGGCGCACTGGGCCAGAGTGACATGACAGCGTGTCAAGGAGTGAACAACACGTACTCGGAGATCAGTGAGTTCATGTTCCTCCCTCAGCACCCTGCTCTCTGTCAGCAAACTCTCTATAAATACCGGGATTCCCAGCCTCACCACTTCACCACTCCTAGATCCAGCCTCTCTCTACTTCTCTTCTCTCCAGACTTGCTGAGATCCCAGCTGACCTCCAGCCATGAGGATCCTTTACCTTGTGTTTGCTGTTCTCCTGCTGGTCTCCTTGGCCACTCCAGGTGAGATGTCGACCTGCGTGGGGTGGAAATAAGGACAATGGAGGGGGAATTGAGGGTAACATAAAGGATTCAGACTCTCAGGCAGTATTCAGTGGTGGGGCAGGTTTTGTGGACAATCTGTGCCAGGACAACTGGGAGCACAAATTAGGTGTCCAATTATTTGTGTATTTTTAGATGTGCAGCTGAGTATTTAGCTCTCTGGGTTCTTTCTAGTGAGTTACTATGGGACTCTGTGTAAGGAGGATTCCCATAAGGACGAACAGAGAATTCAACCCTCTCTCCAACCATCAGAACTCAGACACCAGGGGCCAGCACTCTCACCCCAGGCTGTGATCCTAACGTTAAACACCTGAATCCACATTAGGCACAAAGATCAAACAGGCCTGATTTCCAGAGGCTCTGGAAACCACAGCTCCTTTGGGCTTCTTCTGAAAATCAGGCCACTTTTATGTGGGCACCTTGATATGGATTTAGGAGCCTGACAGTGAGCATTCAAGTGTGAGAACACTGGCCCCAGATTCTAAAGGGAAGGACTGAACAGTGGACTGTGGACTGGTTTCAGGGATGAAATTCAGTGCTATTCTTCCAACCTCCCTCTTCCAAATTCATCATGAATTATGATATCAGCCTAAAATGTCCTAGGCACCCCATGGATAGTGCAGTTCTGAGTGTGTTCATGGATCAGATCCTGCTTCCATACTGTTACTGGGATTTTAAGGGTAACATCTCAAACTCGAACCAGGTGTAACAATGCTGCCTCACTGTGTCTTCAGACCCTGAGACAGCTGTAAGACCCATGGGAACCCCCCCTCCCCCAATTCCTCTGGATGGAGCTTTAACTTTATGCCTCACTTAATATGATCAGCCTGCCCACGTGATTCCCAGAAGTGTTTGTGCAAATGGGCAGGAGCTGGGTTCTGCCACCATCACTGTGCTGGTAGTACCAAGATCTGCCAGAGGTTCCACAGAAGTGAATCTCCCCTCCCAACATCGCTCCGCCTTCCCCCAAACCCTGCCCATCCTCTCCTCTCTCCCATACCCACTGTCCTTCCCCTTCTTCCAGCTCCCTGTTTTCCATTCTTTCCACACTGTCCACCCCTTCCACCTCACTCTACTCTCTCCCCTTCACTCTGGGCATCTTCCATCTCTCCCACTCCCCACCAGCCCCCTCTCCTTTCCCCCTCCCACTCCCTGTTCCTCCACCTCAGACCTCTCCCACTTCCTCTTCTTTTTCCACCACCTTTCCCCTTTTTCTCTCATTCTTACCATCCCAACATCCTTCCCACCAGCCCTGGGACCCCCACCACTTCCTCTCTTTCCCTTCTCTCCCCACTAGCCCCTTCCATAACTCCTTGCTCTGTCTCTATGTCTGAAGACCCCCTTGCTTTAACTGCAGTCTGTTCTCGTCTGCCCTGGGACCCTCACACACAGCAGGCCCCTGGCCAGCAAGTCTCTCCCAGTGAGACACCATCAGAACTACAGAAACCCACTTTCCTTTCCAATGGGGCTCTCCCAATACCCTCCCCCTATCTCATCACTGACTCTGGTGTCTCTCAGGACATCAGGCAGATAGAGGGACAGATCTCATGGAGGGGCTGGGCTGGTGCTCTCAATGAGGACCCTAACCATGCGGAGGGAGAGGCCTCAGGAAGGGGAAGGCAGCCGCTGGCGTGGTGAGCAGCCCTTCTCCTCCAGGGCAAGAAATTGCCATTCAGCTTCCCAGTCAGTCTCCTCTCTTGGGACTGAGCATGAATGAGAGGGTCTTGTCCTGAGTGGACTCACGCCCAAAGCCAAGCCCTACCTATCAGTGCTCCACATGAGCCACGGCGTGGACTGTTCAGGTGGGCACTGACCGTAGGGTTTCCAGGCGTCCGGTTTTCAGTCGGAACGCCCGGTTGAAAAGGGACCGTTAAAAGTCCGGTCAGTGGTGCAGCAGGGCTAAGGCAGCCTCCCTGCCTGCCCTGGCTCCACATGGCTCCCAGAAGTGGCCAGCATGTCCCTGCAGCCCCTAGGCACAGGGACGGCCAGGGAGGCTCTGTGCACTGCCCCGGTCCTGAATGCCAGCTCCACAGCTCCCATTGGCTGGGAACTATGGTCAACGGCAGCTGCGGGGGAGGGGCCTGAGGGTGCTGGCGGTGTGCAGATCTGCCTGGCTCTGCCTCCGCCTAGGGGCTACAGAGACTTGCCAGCCACTTCTGGGAGTTATCTGAGGTATGCACTACCCAGAGCCTGCACCCCGAATCCCCTCCTGCATCCCAAGCCCCTGCCCCAGCCCTGAGTCCCTTCTCACACCCAAACTCCCTCCCAGAGCCCGCACCCTGCACCCCCTCCACACTTCAACCACCTGCCCCAGCCTGGAGCCCCCTCCTACACCTTAAACCCCTCACCCCTGGCCCAGAGCCACCTCCTGAACTCCAAATCCCTTATCCCCAGCCCCACCCCAGAGCTCGCACCCCCAGCTGGAGCCCTCACCACCTCCTGCACCCCAACACCCTGCCCCAGCCTAAAGCCCCCTCCCACACTCTGAACCCCTTGGCCCCACCCTCCAGCCTGGAGCCCCCGCCTGTACCCCACACCCCTCATCCCCAACCCCATCCCAGAGCCCGCACCCCCCAGCTGGAGCCCTCACCCCTCCCACATCCCAAACCCTTGCCTCAGCCCAGTGAAAATGAGCAAGGGTGGGGGAGAGTGAGCAAAGGAGGCAGCCGGGTGGAGTGAGTGGGGATGGGGCCTTAGAGAAGAGGCGGGATGGGGGTGGGGCCTTGGGAAAGGGAAGGGCAGGGGCAGGGGCAGGGCCAGGGTGTTCAGTTTTCTGCAATCAGAAAGTTGGCAACCCTAACTGACTGTGAGCGCAGTTCCTTTCTTCTTACCTAATCCTGGACTCTCTCTCTCTCTCAATGTCTGGTGCAGGTTATGGGCAGAAGAAGGGCTGTCCTGGTCGCTGCACCGCAAAATGTGGCAAACATGAGAGGCCGACATTACCCTATAACTGCGGAAAGTACATCTGCTGTGTCCCCGTGAAAAAGGGGAAATGAGCGTGGACGGCTTCACCCGCCCTGGAAGAGGAACGGCTGCGGCAGCGGGCTCCCGACTGTTTAGCGGAAATGTTGTTCACTCCTCTCATTAAATAAGAGCATTTCTGGGCTTGGCGTGTGTTGTGTGGGTCACGCGTCTCTCAGGGGTCTTGCGCAGGGTGGGCCCAATGGCCCGTTAACAGGCCTGTTACCGATGGCCCAGGGAAGGGCCAGTTTATCCCGGATCCGTGTCTGCAAAATGGCTCATGGGAAAGAAAAACAACTTGTGGGCTTTGTCCCCTCACTTTCTCTCCATGAATGTGGTGCTGGTGGAAGGCGCTGGATGGACAGAGGCTGTGTGAGGAAAAGCTCCCTTACACGGCCTGCCCCCGCCCAATGTGCCTGGGCTCTAACCCGGTGGGATCATCTCAAGGGCACAGGGCAGAGTTCAGTCTCCAAACCCCACTCAGGGCTTCACGGCTCTGCTGGGCCCCCCAACAAGGTTGCCAGTTGCACTGTGGGGATAGAGGCCAGGAGAGTTCAGGTACATGCTTCCCCACCTGCCCCCCCAAAGTGCCCCAATTCTCCCCCAGAGGGCCCCTCTCCAGTGGGGAGAGGCTAATTCAGTCCCCATGGCTTACTCAGTGCTTGGCCTCTCTGCTGAGACCACCAAATCTGTCTTCACTGTGTCAGCTCAGTGATTTTTGCTATAAACTCAGACCAGAACCTCACTGTTAATGTAATGGCCAACAAACTCCCATCTGATGCTAGCTTTTATCAGCCACTGTCATTTAGGCCAGAGTCAACCTGTCAACAGAGAGGGGAGAGACTCCTTCTCAGCCCAGTGCAATGAGACAGGCCTCAATGTCCCCGTTGTTCCTCCTTAACAATAAGCCAATAATGTGTCTGATTCGGCCATGTCACTAGTCTCTTTCCAAGAACCTTGTTTCAGGAGGGGATTGTCATTAGATGCCACCCTACTCTTTGCCGCTCCCACCCTCTATCCATGCCAGACTGGGATCTTCTCACCCTTTGTGCAAACGACTCTTGTCAAGAGGTTCCCTTTCCGCAGGCTGTCCAGTACGTACACTAGCGGTCAGCAGAGCTCTGGCTTGGGGCATGGTGGGCGGTTCTCGTTGTCCTCAGCTGAGAGCATCAGAGCAGATGGGAGAGAGAGATGAAATGAAGGGCAAAAGTAAATAGATCATTCTAATGGATAAAAGCCTTGGCTCATTAAAGGTGGCTGAAAAATTTTCATCAGCTCCAAAACCTACAAGAAATCACTATTTACAGCATAGGACTCCAAAGGCAGCAAATGGCAATGTTAAACCTGTCTGGGCAACCTTAACGCCTCTCCCTCTTGCATATGCATCTGAAGACAGTGTCCTCAGTGGGAGAGGTGTAGAACCCCTGGGCTTTCCCTGGCCCTATATAAATCAGTGGGAGTTTTTTCATTGACTTTGGCAGGGCCACGATCGCACCCTAGTTCTCCTTTCCTTTGGCCAGGAGGCGTTTTGGTGAGGGGGTGTCTGACGATGACCATCCTCCCTTTTCCCAGACCCCGTGTCTCTTTGCTCTTTCAACTTCTCTCACTGGAGAAGAGTCATTTTTGTTTTCATGTATTGAATTATTTTCTTAACTTTCCATTTGACAAAATCCCTCTGATGCAGGTAGCTGGATCTGAAGCAGGGAGAATTGTTCCTGCATAGTGCTGGGACTGTGAAAATTTCAAGTGACTATCCAGCCATTGGATCTTACTACACCTTGTCTTCTTGACTGAAGAGCCCCTCATCAATGTTTTCTTCCCCATGTAGGTATTTACGGATTGTGATGAAGTCACCCCTGAACCTTCTCTCTTTTTAGCTCCTGATTGAGCTCCTGGGGTCTGTCAGACTTGTTTTCCAGTCCCTTAATAATTTAATAATTTCTCTGAAATCTCTCCAATTTATCGACATTTCCTTAAGAACAAAAGGGCCCAGCTCCTCAAAGGTATTAAGACACCTAACTCCCATTGATTTAAATGGAAGCTGGGTGCCTAAATTCCTTTGAGCCGAAAGACACATGTAGATCCACCCTTTAGCTGAATTCAAGCTGCCCTTCTATTCCCAGGACACGTGGTGTCTAGTCACATGCTCCTAGCACAGAATCCTTGGACTCAGAGATTTTTAAGGCCAGAAGAAACCTTTAGATCTTTTGCAAATCATCTGGACACCTAGCAGATATTAGCATAGACTTGCCAGGGGCGTTTACACATCTAGCTGTCATCTGCGCATCTTGAAAATCTCCCCCCCCCCCCATTTTCCCATAGACAGCTAAAAACTCCCTTCTAGTTCCCCCCACAACCTGTTTCTTGTGTCAGTGGCACTGTGCAATGCCTATGGGAACCCAAATGGACCCTTCACCGGACCCTGCCCAGTTTAACTGGCTATGACAGGAACTGCAATGAGGCTGGACGGCTCAGAAACATTGGGTTGATTCAGCAGTTCCCTTCTACTCCAGGGGGAGCTTAGGTCCACGGAGTCTCCTTCCCTGGCTCAGTGGAGCTGAAAGAATACAGCTGAGTTCCAAGCGTGTCACGGTCGGAGCCAGCAGCTAAGCCCCAGAATGTAAGCAGTGGGTTACAAGAAGGCAGGTTACCTCAGGGGTACAGAGACCGGGGCATCTCTGCAGAGAACAGGTGGTGGGTGAACAGCTCCAGAGTCAAGCTGGAGCTCAGCACGTGCCCAGGGTGTGTATCCTGGACAGCCAGCCCTTGTATCATAGATTCATAGATTCATAGATATTTAGGTCAGAAGGGACCATTATGATCATCTAGTCTGACCGCCTGCACAACGCAGGCCACAGAATTTCACCCACCCACTCCTGCAAAAAAACTCACACCTATATCTGTATCCTTTGTTTGTGTGACTTCCCCAAAGGCTGAGGAATGCAGGACTCAGAGACAAGCCCACTGGCAAAAGCCTGAGGAAGGACAGGACTAGAACCCTGCACCAAGAGCAGGGAGCCCAACTAGGAAGGCTGGGGGTGGGGGGATGTTCCCTTCTGAACTTTCTATTAACCAACCAGACCCCAAGGAGGGGTGATATTTGACACATAAAGGCCTATGGGAAGTTGTGGGTGAGCCCAAGAGGGTGAAAGCAGCAAACAGACCTCAAGCCAGGCTGGATAAGTCCCTGCTACACTGCCCCTCCCCAGCTCCACTGTCAGAGTTCCTTCCCCACTCTGAATTCTAGGGTACAGATGTGGGGACCCGCATCAAAGACCCCCTAAGCTTATTTTTACCAGCTTAGGTTAAAAACTTCCCCAAGGTACAAACTTTGCCTTGTCCTTGAACAGTATACTGCCACCACCAAGCATTTTAAACAAAGAACAGGGAAAGAGACCACTTGGAGACGTCTTCCCCCAGATTATCCCCCCAAGCTCTACACCCCCTTTCCTGGGGAAGGCTTGATAATAATCCTCACCAATTGGTACAGGTGAGCACAGACCCAAACCCTTGGATCTTAAGAACAATGAAAAATTAATTAGGTTCTTAAAAGACTAATTTTAATTAAAGAAAAGGTAAAAGAATCACCTCTGTAAAATCAGGATGGAAAATGCTTTACAGGGTATTCAGATTTAAAACACAGAGGATCCCCCTTTGGGCAAAACCTTAAAGTTACAGAAAACAGGAATAAACCTCCCTCTTAACACAGGGAAAATTCACATAAAACAAAAGATAAATTAATCCACCTTGCCTGGCTTACCTATACTGGTTGCAAAATTGGAGACTTGGATTAGGATGGGTTGGAGAAGATGGATTTCTGTCTGGCCTCTCTCAGTCCCAAGAGAGAACCAACACGTAAACAAAGAGCACAAACAAAAGCCTTCCCCTCCTCCCAAGATTTGACAGTATCTTGTTCCCTTATTGGTCCTTTGGGTTAGGTGCCAGCCTGGTTAGCTGAGCTTCTTAACCCTTTACAGGTAACAGGATGTTGCCTCTGGCCAGAAGGGATTTTATAGCACTGTATACAGAAAGGTGGTTACCCTTCCCTTTATATTTATAACATCCACAGAATCCTATTGGGAGGCACATATAATTAGGCTGCAGGGACCTACGGGCACAGATATCCTAATGAGGGCAGCCTCCTGTACGTGTGTCCTGGGGGTAGGGAAAGGGCAGCCCACCCATCTCAGTGCATCTACACCAGGGGCAAACGTTTTGGCCCAAGGGCCACATCTGGGTATGGAAATTGTATGACGGGCCATGAATGCTCACGAAATTGGGGGTTGGAATGTGGGAGGGGGTGAGGGCTCTGGCTGCGGGAGCAGGCTCTGGGGTGGGGCCAGAAGTGAGGAGTTCAGGGTGTGGGAGGGGGCGCCGAGCTAGGGCAGGCAGTTGGGGTGTGAGGGGAGGGGAGGGCTCCAGCTGAGGGTGAGGGCTCTGGGGTGGGAATGGGGATGGGGGGTTGGAGGTGCAGGAGGGTGCTCCAGGGTTCAGAGGGGGTTCAGAGGGTGGAAGGGGCATCAGGGCTGGGGCAGGGGGTTGGGAAATGGGAGGGGATCAGGGGTGCAGGCTCTGGGCGGCACTTACCTCAAGCAGCTCCCGGAAGCAGTGGCATGTTCCCACTCTGGCTCCTATACGGAGGCGCAGTCAGGAGGCTCTGCGCGCTGCCCCATCTGCAGGTGTCGCCCCTTCAGCTCCCATTGACCATGATTCCCGGCCAATGGGAGCTGTGGGGGCAGCGCTTGGGGTGGGGGGCAGTGTGTGGAGCCCCCTGGCTGTCCCTACACATAGGAGCCAGAGCGGGGACATGCCACTGCCTCCGGAAGCCACATGGAGCCATGGCATGCATGGAGTGGGGCAAGCCCCCGACCCCGCTCCCCGGCTGGAGTGCCGGAGCAGGACAAGCCCCAGACCCTGCTCCCCGGCAGGAGCTTGAGGGCCGGATTAAAATGTCTGAAGGGCCAGATGCAGCCCCTGGGCCATAGTTTGCCCACCCCTGACCTACATTGTCCTAACTGGGGGCTGATAGTCTGTCACTCATAAAGATTTAAAACTCTTGTGATCTCTTCCCCATACAGCAATCTGCAAGGGGATTTGAACACGAATAAATATCCCAGGTGATCCTCCCCCCAGGAGAGATTTTCCCTCCCCTGAGTGGATGATTAAAGGTACCTTCTTTAGTCACACTTTAGAATAACTGCAGGAGCTTCTCGGATTAGATTTAAAAATGGTGTTATCTTAATATCTATAGAATCAGAGTTTGTCAAAACATCAGGCAAATTCTCATTTCCAAGATGTCCCCGGCAAGTCGTTAAATAAATCAGTTGTGGGATAATCGCATCTTAATGCATCCCCAGTGCTCCTAACAGTTGTATGAACAGTGATAGGGAAAATGGGACTACGAACAAACCTGCTCTGCTATTCCAGACTTTGCAGCCTGATCTAACGCTCACTGAGTTCAAGGAGAGGCTCCCCTTCACTGCAGTGGGCTTTGGATGGAGCCCATCTGTCTGTAATTGTAATAAACCTCACAGAGCTGATGTTCAAAGGCAGGTAGGCCCCTACCATATGGCCACTAGTTTTCAATGGGAGTAGACACCCAGAGCTAGATCCACAAAGGGGACTTGGGCTCAGCATTGCAGTGCCTCACTTTCGGCATCCTGCCGCCTAACGCAGGCCGGAGCCCGGACACAGGTGCTCAGGCTCCCTATATAATACATGGGGAGAGTTAAATCCACAAAAGCCAGCAAGCTGAATAGAGAGCTGCCTAAGATAGACAATAGGTAATACAGAGCAGAGGGGTGTGGCCTAAGCTCCACCCCTCAAAGGGTTTTAGGGGTCCGAATCCAGGCTGGAGAGGCACACCCATCTCTGCTCAGGATTCACAGCCATGAAACCTCTCCTGGAATTAGGCACCAAAACCCTGGGGGGAAAAAAGAAAAAAAGGGATACCTGTAGTGCCCCTTTTAGCCTAGAGGCTACTGCACTCACCTAGAGTGCAGCAGGTTCAAATCCCACCTCGGCCTGACTTGGAACTGCAGTCTCCCCCATCTTGGGAGCATGCCCTTGCCATGGGACTGTGAGCTACTGCAGAGATCGGCTCTCCTGTTGAAGCTGTTCCTCTTTGTATGAATAATTAAATATTCATTGGGCCAGAAGGAGAGTGAGAATGTCTCCATAACCCGGTGGCTACGGCACTTCCTAGCAAAGTGGCAGGTGTGGATTCAAATCTCTGCTCAAAATCAGGCCAAGGATTTGAAGGTTGGTCTCCCACATACTGGCTGAGTGCTCTGACCAGTGGGCTAAAGATCAAAGAGCAGACTCCTCCTCTGCTTTATGCAGGGTGGATCTATTAGGTGGTCTCTTAGAAATCCTACTGGATCAGGCCCCACAGGTGAGAGAGGCGGGGGAATACATAGTGTGACAATCCCACTGGGGGTTAGGCAGGATATGGGTACTGGGCATCAGGACATAGGCAGATATACATGCGCTCATGGATAGATTTTTAGGGACTTCATTGGTGGAAACACAGATGCCTAGAGAATCTAGGTACCTACAGTATTAGGGGGTAGCTGAGCAGGGGTTTGGAGGAACTAAATTTTGGATTTAGGTGCCTAGAGTGGTAGTGAGCTGCCTAAATGTCTCTATAACTGCCAATTGTGCCTTTGAAAATCTCCCCTGAGTCATCTGGGTGGAATCTCCTTCCTTAGATATTTTTAAGGTCAGGCTTGACAAAGCCCTGGCTGGGATGATTTAGTTGGGGATTGGTCCTGCTTTGAGCAGGGGGTTGGACTAGATGACCTCCTGAGGTCCCTTCCAACCCTGATATTCTATGAAATCAGAGAAGTGATGGTCTTTAATACAACACAGTCACACTAGAGCTCCTTGAGGTCTCAGCTTGAAGAATTATTATTATTAAATATATTATGAACTTCAATTAAGGATCAGGACTTAGGGGGCTGAGATATATAAATAAAGCAGAAACGGGTAAAGTAAATACAGTCCCTGAACAAGAGGGTCTGTGATTCTGAGAAGATGCAAGAGGTGGATAAACAGACACATATGCCCATCTGGCCACCAATGGCGGGAGGTTCTGGTGGCTTCAGCTAGAGCCCCAAAATCATCAGATCTATGTTGGATTATTTTGTGATTAAGGACTCTGACTGTTTTTAGTATTAAACCCAGCCTAGAAAAGGGTGCTATAAGCCACAACAAAGACATTCTGTACTTCTTAAAGGACCCTGAAGATGGGGGGAAATAGAAGCAGGGTTCTGTAAAGGCAACACACACACACACACACATGCAGCCTGAACATATTATTGTTCTCTGGCAGCTGAAAAGTTTAAGTGGAAAATCACCCAAAAATTTTATTTTACCAAAAATTATTAGCTTTCAATTACTTAAAACTGCCTATTTTTCAGGTTTTGTGTTTCATTATTTTACAACAAACACTTGAAAAATCTCTTTGACAATGGACTTTTGTCAGGCATATATCTATTTCAACAAGTCAGCCATTTTCTATTGACAAAACTTTGTGATGGAAAATGTTCAACCTGCCCTAGATGGTGTCACGAACCAGGACATGGATGGTCAGGCCTGGTGGTTAGAGCAGGAGTCAGGAGCTGGAGCCAGTGCTCAGAATGGAGTCAAGGAGCCAGTAACCAAAGCCAAGGGGTCAGAGCCAGAGTCAGGAACTCAGCCCTGAAGCAGGGCTGGAGCAGACTGGGCAGGACAGAAGCAAGGCTGGGAACAAAGCAGGATCAGGTCTGGAGCAAGACTAGGAGCAGGGCAGGCATTTGTGTTGAGCAGCCAGCAATCAGTTGCTGCTGGTGGGCTTAAGAGCAGACCTGCTGACTTCTTTGGCCAACCAGCTGTGGCCCTGCTGTGCTCCGAGGCTGCCTGGAGACTGGGCAGATGCCACTGCCAGTCCTCATCCCTGACAGATGTCTCCTGTGTGGAGGGCAGAGGAGGAGGAAGGGGCTTGGACACTAATGCCTTCTCCCTCATGATCGTACTCTGCAAGTCTCCTGCATTGCCCAGTAGCACCATGACAAAGTGTGACCCATTTACACCCTTCATGTTACAGGCACAATTTATGTTGCTGTTGTTTTAATACAGAGGTCCCCAAACTGTGGGGCACGCCCCACTGGGGGTGTGTGGAGAACCGTTTGGGGGGCATGACTGGGGCCATGGTCAGCCCCCACGGGAGACAGGGAGGGAGCACCACCCAGCTCCGCTACTGGCCCCGGCTACTGGTCCTGCATTTGGGGTCCCAGCTGCCAACCCCATGCTCCACTGCCTACCCAACGCCTGGGGCTCTGCTGCCAGCCCTGCGCCTGGGGCACTGCTCCCGGCCCCGGCTCAGGGGAGAGGGCATGGACAGGGGTAAGGGGGGGCATGAGGTAAAAAGTTTGGGGACCTCTGTTTTAATGGGAATCAAATTTGCAATTTCTCAAATTTCTCCAACTCCAGAGAGCCGGATGTTCAGGAAGAGCATTTCCCCTACTTATCCAGCTCCCAGGGGATGGGGAATTGTGTGAATGTCACATGGGAAGGGCCCATGAACAATAGATACTGAATAAGTGGGAAGTTTGGATTGAAAGCTGACTCGGATCACTGGGGCAGAGTGACATTAATGGGTAATCAGCTGCTAACAATGTGTAATTCAAAATCAAGTCATTTATTCTCATTTCTGCACCCTGCTCTCTACTGGGAAACCTCCTATAAATACAAGGACTTCTCTGCTTCATCCCTTAAAGACCTTCCTTTCCTGACTCACAGAGACTGCTGCTGGCATCCAGCTATGCAGGTCCTATACCTTGTGTTTGCTGTTCTCTTACTGGTCTCCATTGCCACCCCAGATAAGATAAAAG